GTTTATATTGGAGCAAAAAAAAAATTTTTGACAGGGGGGTCTCGGAGATATATTTTGCTAGTCCATGACCCATATATGCAATTATTGGTATATATAATATCATTAAACAGAGTCTGACTGTAATTATCAATCTATTATTGAAATAAAATAATAATATTTGCACTTTTTCTAACTTAATTAGTAAGATACTTTTTTTTACAGAATCTGTTAATAAAATGGTTAATAAGGATTAATAAAAAAACAAAATAATTTTAGAAATTGTCAGAAAATATTATTATACAAATTTGGATAAATGTTATCAGAATATTTATTCAAAAAATTCATTCTAAACCCTAGTTGCATAGTAAATCGGTGGTTAATATAAGATGTGATTATTAAAAAACGCGACTCGTTTTTTTTTTATATTAAACGGTTGAAAAAAAAAAAACTATTAACTGTCTAAGGAAAAGAAGAAATAAGAAAACAAGACCAAAAAGGTTTTTCATAAAAGAAGAAATAAGCCGTACATCAATCTATTTAAACCTTCCAATATTTATAGATAAATTGTTTAAAGAAAAAAATTCTTTTACAGTTAAAGAATTTCTACCTAATAAAACTTCAAAAATAATCTTACAATTTTTTAATTTACCTAATTTAATTTGAGAAAATTCGAATTTATTAATTTTCAAATATAATAAAGAATCAGGTATAATTTCAATAAAAGAAGATAAAACATCTTCATTAATATTTATGATGTTAAATTCATAAATAAATAATCTTTTCAATTGGTTGCAATGCTCAAGGATAGAAAATAAAGCAGTAAAATCTCTTTGCTCGGTTATTGGGGTGGTTAAAGAAATAAGTGAAGGACAATTTTTTGATATTATATCAAATATTTTTATACATCGTTCTATATTTGTATGAATATCCAGGTGGGTTAAATTATAACCATTATTTTGTATGATCCAAGCGATAAGTGAATTTTTTGAACTGTATTCCACATAATTTAAAATTTTTAATTTAGGAAAGATTTTGTCTTCGGATTTGATCGTTGAAGAAAGGTCATTGTTGAATATAAAATGTAATTGATGAAAAATCAATTCTTGTAAATGATCCCATCTTGACAAACATTTAATCGCATCATCATCGATCGTACATAAAGTAAGTTTAAGTGTGGTTAAAGTAGAACTATGTTTTTGTAAAGAGAGAATTATCTGTGTAGCATTTGTATTATTGTAACCGATAAATGAGACGGATTTAAGAAAACGAAGTGATTTAATAAAACTAATTACATGATCCATATTTTCACCTTCATCAACACCTAATCCTTCGGGTATGATGAATATTGATATGGTCGTAATCGTATCACGAACCAATTCCGATAATTTCATAAATATTCTTGAATTGATGGTTTGACAAAAATCAAAAGAATTTAAATTTAATAATAATCTCTTGTTAATATCATCATTTTGTAAATATTTATCTAATTGAAGAATAAGGGGTTGTGTATTTGAAATATTAATTATAGAGAGAGTATCGATTTGAGAATATTTAATCAATACTTGAAATAAAGATTCGAGCAAAAACTTAAAAAATTCTTGAGGCTTTTTATCAAATTGAATAAAAGGACAACGAAAATTTGTTTGATTTGTTATATAACGAATATATTCCCACCCATTTAAACACTTGTATAAATAAAAATTAAGAGACATTGAAGATGTTGAGAGTAATTCATTTAATAAATTATTCACCCATTTATTTACTAAACCAACCAAATCCACGAAATTAATTCTCTCAATATATTTTGGATATTCAAATAAATGAGGTGTATCAGGTATTTTTAAATGATAAAGAGGAATTTTTAAATCACGTTGTAATTTTGGATAAAGGTTTAAAGTATCTTTTGGTATATAAAACCGGTTTGCTAAAATTTTCAACTCTTCTTTACTTTCTTTATCAAGAAATGATAGTAATACTGTAATTATTTTATGAGTATTTGAAGAATTACTTGGAGAATTAGTTGAATTTGATGAATTTGATGATAAAGGAATTTTCCATAGTCGAATCATGCTAATTTTACACCAATTACGATTCACTAAAGTGGCGGAATATAAAGTTTTGATATCATTTTCATCAAAGTGTTTTATAATGCATTCTACACATTCGTTCGGTAAATACATGACATGAGGGGATTTAATTTCCTTGAAATTTCTCTTTTTTTTTTTTTTTTTTAGGAAAAAAAATTTAAAATTTTAAAATTTTTAAAACGGATTTACCTTAAGCATTTATATACAAAATTATGTTAATCGTTGCACAAGCAAAAATTGTGGCGTTTCTCGATCATGAGATTTTCATAAGATTTCCATTAAAAAAGAAATTAGAATGATTTATGAGAAACTGTGGCAAATTTTTATACGTTTAAACAAGTGGCTTTAACCATTTTAACATCAACTATAATATTCAGGTTTTGCCCAAAGAACCATCTTTAAGGTATACAATAATTACAGTTGATACACCCAACGTTAATGTTGTAGAATACACGATCATGATACCAAATCCGCCTAAAACAATACAACAGTTTTGTATTTATTTAAGGTTTAGCGATAAATGTCGGACAACGCGTTTACACACCAAAGAATATGCAAGCAGTCGGAAATGCGAGGTGAAATTTCCGTTCTATCAACAATCCATAAACAACGGTATAATCAAAGATCCTAGCCAACGATATGAAGTTTTTGTTCTGGTACTACTTTATCATCAAGTTTCGTTTTAAATCTTGCCAATATCAAATCAGACAGCCTATCACCCAACATGCTACCCGTGATATGTCCCATCCCTAAGCTAATGAAGATTAGTCCAGCTTTTGATACGATTAATCCTGTATTGAAGGTGATTGAATGTAACATATACAATGGCAAAAAATCCACCTCCATCCAAGATAGGTTACTTATAGAATTGCTTTTTGATTATTTTTATGATGCTTTTTATTCTAAATGTAAACTTGTAAAAAAAAAAATTCTTTCTCAATAATTGAGAGTATCTCACTAAACTTCTAAAGATATTATATAATTGGCTAATATAATATAAAGATCTTTTCTTTTCTAACTTTATAATTTAAAATTACTAGTAAGAATAATGATAATTCAAATCTAATAATTTAGTATAATAATATAATAAATGGTTTATATTTTATTAATATAATCAAAATAATATTTATTATTAAACTATACTAAATTAATTAAAGCTACACTTATTTTAATATATTATGAACTTTTTATAGAAATCTGAAATATTTGAATATAAAAATATGAATTTTTTAAAATTTGAAAATAGCAAAACATTTTATCAAATTACAAAACATATGATTTATGATTTTCATCAGATTTTATTTCTTTCTAATTATATAATACCTATATCACTTTTTTTATTTAATAATAGTTACTTATAACTCCTTATAATAAATTTTTAGTTAAAAAGTAATCAAATTCTTATGTAAAATAGTAGTAGAAATAAAATAGGATTTCTGAAATAAAATTTTCAAATAATGTACAAAAAGTATACTGATCATCTATGAATCAATTCTAGCTATATGAATTAACTATTGAATTTAAACTTTTTCGTGCGATTTGGTTCAAATTTAGCTAATCAAAAATGTTGATATTGAACTTGGCTAGGAATTAGCCTCTTTAACCAAGAATTACATTAATTGATAAAGACATTTAATCTATTTTTAATCACAATTAATATATCAAAAAAATTATACTATACAGTTTGCATTTGGAAGAAGATGAGAATATTAAAGAATGAAGTAACAAAATATTTAAGTCTACAATTCTTGCAAACCTAATATGTATAATAACTTTTATGCTATTCTGCTTGCCTTTCAGAAGTCCATCAAAAATCAAGAAATGAAGTGACATAATTTAAGATAGGCCTGATATTGTAAGCCTAAAATACATATAATATTTCATAATATTCTAATTAATTCTAAAACTGATTCTTATCTGATTTCATAGATCATTAAGTCTTACCTTTTGGTACCTATTTATTAAATTATACTTCAACAAGGTAAGACTTAGCTATTATCTAAATTACAAATCAAAAGCTTAATAAATAAGTTCTAATATATCATTATTTTTTTTTGATATATAGGAAAATAGTCTAAAATCATTTTCTTTTTACAAACTTTAGCCTTATAAAAAATCAAAATAAGGAAATAATATGTTTTTTATAAGGTTTGTATACATAATTGATGTTTCTGTATCATAATTCCATATGTTTTATAATAATTTATTTTTATAATTTTTTAAAAAATTAATGTATACAAAATTATTAAGTAATTTTAAATAATGTATAAATTTTACATAAAATAATAAAAAATTTTTTATTTTATGTAAAATATTTTTTTCTTGTACTTTTAATGTATAGATATCAAATTAAACTTGTGATATTCTAAAGATTTATTACATCATTTTTGTCTAATAAATTAACTCCTTTCATTATGTTATCGATCCATAAACAAGATTTAACATGTTTTTACAAATTTTTTATTTGATGATTATTATCAACTAATAGATACTAATTGTCCTTTGTTTATTTTTCTGCAGAAGAAAATTTTTTATGTCGTTTAAAATAAATTATTTTTTGAAATTTAATATATATGAAATTATTAAAAATTTGAAATAATGTATAAATTTTACATAAAATAAAAAAATAACAAAAACAAAATAACTAAAATAATAATATTATACATCTAATTGAATTTTTTAATGCAAGTAATATTGAAACTTTTTATGTAAAATATGTAAGAAAAGAATGAATGTATACAAATGATTTAACATGAGGAAAAATCTTTGATAAACAGATTATATAAACCAAAATTTTTTTTTCTTGTACTTTGAATATGCAAATATCAAATTAAGCTTGAATATTACACTTGTGATGATTCTAAGATTTTTTTATTTTGATCATATCGATCCATAAACAAGATTTATTAATAAAATAAGCATGATTAGTTAACCCTTTGAATTTTAATTAGCGATAGTTTTGTTAGACTCAATTTTACTGATATAAATAATTTTCAATGCAATCTTAACAATAAGATATTTCCAATTGAAGAAATTTTCCTCTCTGTTGATTTGGATGATTTGTTTTCCTCATATTCACTTCTGAAACACAAAAATTTCTTACAAACATGCTGTTGATTCAAGATCCTTTAAATATCTTATATTTTCAGAATCTAAATTTTCTAAACTTTAATAAAAGATAATACGCATCAACTCTCACCAATCTAAAAATATTCGTCAAAGAAGAAAATTAAAAAGAAGAATAAGACATCATAAAAAGAGATATACCTATTTTAGTAGATATCTAATTTACTTTATAGTAATATGTGATTCCAATATTTATGAGCGGTACGTTTACTACCTGACGTGTATTTTCACATAGTATGGGTGGCACGTTATGATATTGATGTGTATTTTCATTTTGGTTTTGCATATTGGCAGTAATTCAGATAGCTGTAGGCATACTTAGTTTTTATAATTAATTGGTTTACTACCAAATCATCTATTCACTCAAACTTTTTTTTAGGTTTTAAAATTGAGTTAATTTTTGAATTTGAAAAAAATATTGGAGAAAATTGATAATCTTCTAGCTGATTATCTTCCTTTTATCCAATTGAAGATTATCTAATTTTCCCAAAAAAAGATATATAATAAATAAACTTGTCTTTGAATTTTTCACTTTTTCATTTTTAGATGCTAATTTTCTATTTCTTATAGATTTTGATAATAGTTTTTTTTAAATGATCTATTTAAAATTTTTTTTTAAATATTAAATAAAAATATACTTTAACTAAAATAATAAATCACTTTACGATTTATTAATTATTTAATTATTAAATATATCATGTAAAAAGCCACAAAAATAAGTCATTAATCATATATTTCATCATATTTAACAAGATTTATCATATTTTATAACCAATAGATACCAATAGTCTTTTGTTATAAAAAAATTTTCCCATGCTATTTAAAATGATTTATTTTATAATTTTTTAAAAAAATTGATTATTAAAGTATTTGGAATAACGTATAAATTTTGTAAAATAAAAAAAATTTTTTTCTTATACTTTGAATATGCATATACCAAATTGAGTTTGAATATTACATTTGTGATGATTCTAAAATTTTTGATTGATCCATAAACAAGATTTATCATGTTCTACAAATTTCTTATTTGATAATCATTATCAGCCAATGGATATCAATAATCCTTTGTTTTCTCATGTCATTTAAAATTTTTTCATACTATTTTATTTGAATATAAAAATCCCTTTTCAAATTTCTTCTTTTTCTCAAAGAAAATTTTTCCACTACAAAATTATTGCTATTTTCCTTTTGTAAGTTTTTGTTTCTCTTTAATGAAATACATTTTATTTGTTGAAGATTTAAGAAATAATACTTAAAGTTATTATGATGTTTTAAGTTTATTAAAATATTGAGGGGACGTCACACATCTGATACTTTCTGAGGACTGAAAAACTAGAGATTGAATGGAGTTAATATAAGCGCTATATTAATGTAAATATTTATCTTATTATTTTCTTTTTAGCAAAATAGCTCATATTCATTATTATTAGAGTAAATAATAAGAAATCTCCCTCCACTCGATGTAGAGCTTTAATTCATTGAAGAGAACGTAATAGTCAAAGAGATTTTGAAGGTGAGACGAGTAGACTTTAGAATGATTCTAGACTGGATGACTGGGTATATAGAACGTATCTCAGGATGGGCTTTGTCTAAGCTTAATAAAATATGCAATCCATTCGTCTCTTGAAGAAGTGTGATAGTATGTTCGACTTCATTTAATTTAACTATAACATACTAACACTTTTGCTTCTTTTCTTACATTATACTGTAGGTTCTTGTAATGTAAGTCCTTACTTGCTTAGAACTGATTATCATAGCCTCTATTAGTCTGTATCAATATGTAGCCTTTAGAACATTATTGGGATCATCAAGCTAACCTTTTAGTGAATTAGTACACGCTAGTCGTAGTAAGATGCTCAACTTTACAATTCTAATGTTCAGCCATTTCTCTATTCAGACTGTAAATTCTTGCCGAAAAGAGAGTTTATATTAGGAGAATTCATTATTAAGAGAATAACTTTCTTGTT